CCAACTCGTGTCATGCGTAGTCCGGTCAACAGATTCACGTATTGATTAATAATTTAAAATATACAAGTGTGTGATTATAATTAATAAATGATGTGAGTAGTAGCAAAAATATTTTGGGTGAGCTGGTCGGGGTCTCTGAGACCCCAGCTATAGCGTTTAATAGCCGTCTAATTGATGACTAGTCTATTCTTGGGCTATGTTTAGATGTCTATTCGATTTTCACTGACAGCCCAAATTTAGCCTTGTTTTAGCCTAGACCCATATTCACCGTCTATTAGATGTATATATGTAGTCGTTTAATAGCCGTCTAATTGATGACTAGTCTATAAATGGGCTATGATTAGACGTCTATTAGATTTTCACTGACAGCCCAAATTTAGCCTCGTTTTAGCCTAGACGTCTAGGCTATATTTAGACGTCTTTTAAACGCAAAATTGCTTGCTGGGAAGAGTCATGCGATTCGGCGATTTTTTTTCAAACCAGCTGTCCCAAGCTTCCGATACAGCATGACGTTCGAAGCTTCAAACGGCATCAATCACGTGATATTGTCATTTCGATACAAGCATCGGCACAGTGTGTGATACAATAGTGCTTTGAAAACTGCGTCGGAGCATCGGAGCCTCGGTATCAATCGTCCCATCACTACCTCTAGATCCTCCGATGTTCCCTCGATCCTGTTCTCCTCTGTTCCGGTCCATCTCCTGGCATCCTACAAAATACTCTGCTTCAGTCATCACAGCTAAGAACCCACGAACTGTTATCTGTGTGCTATTCTCACCAGCAATCCGCTGACACAATCTCCTTCTGCATCTAGTTAATAAACAGTCTGTTGATACTTACCTCTTGTCTCTGGCCTGTGTTGTGACACTGTACTGGTACTGATATATATATTTTTTTTTTTTCAGGTGGCCAAAATGTCCGTCCAACAGAGCAAAGTTTTGCTCGGCAAAGAAAAAAAAATTAGAGGGAACATTGCCCCCTTTTGAGAAAATCCTAGAATCGCCCCTGTGAGCCAGTCTGCAGATTTGAGTTGAGAGTTTCCATAGAAAATCACGTAGTGTATGATTGTCACAGACTCCGACTATGATTCCATCCAATCGGAGGATATCAAACATGTTTAATATTTTCAGACGATTTTAGAACACGTTGTTTTCATTTGTCAAGCGTCTCCTAGCAACAAGGTCACTTCTTTGGTGCTCTCACACCAGGTGGACAGGCATGTGCCTTGGCATGGCATAGTTGGCATTTCGTTAACCCAATGTGTCCCCTAGGGCACACAGCGGGAAGTTCCCTCTCAGGGAACCATGGTTACATGCATAACCTGAGACGTTCTATATACAGTATATATATATATTCCATATTGACATGATAGCATCACGCAGTTGCTGCAGATTTGTCGGCTGCACATCCATGATGCGAATCTCCCCTTCCACCACATCCCAAAGGTGCTCTATTGGATTGAGATCTGGTGACTGTGGAGGCCATTTGAGTAAAGTGAACTCATTGTCATGTTCAAAAAAACAGTCTGAGATGATTTGAGCTTTGTGACATGGTGCATTATCCTGCTGGAAGTAACCATCTGAAGATGTGTACACTGTAGTCATAAAGGGATGGACATGGTCAGCCCTTCCAACAAGACAATGACCCTAAGCACACAGCTAAAATAACGAAGGAGTGGCTTCTCAACAACTCTGTGACTGTTCTTGAATGGCCCGGCCAGAGCCCTGACTTAAACCCAATTGAGCATCTCTGGAGAGACCTAAAAATGGCTGTCCACCAACGTTTACCGTCCAACCTGACAGAACTGGAGAGGATTTGCAAGGAGGAATGGCAGAGGATCCCCAAATCCATGTGTGAAAAACTTGTTGCATCTTTCCTAAAAAGACTCATGGCTGTATTAGATCAAATGGGTGCTTCTACTAAATACTGAGCATTTTTCAGTTTTTCTTTTTTAATAAATCTGCAAAGATGTCAACAATTCTGTGTTTTTCTGTCAATATGGGGTGCTGTGTGTACATTAATGAGGAAAAAAAATTAACTTAAATGATTTTAGCAAATGGCTGCAATATAACAAAGAGTGAAAAATTTAAGGGGGTCTGAATACTTTCCGTACCCACTGTATATATATATATACACACAACATAAGATTGACCCCTCTGTATTAATTGTGGCCCCTCTTGTGCTCCCCAGCAATGTTCCCTCTAAGCTGTGTGCGTGTGCGGCCGCACACTTCTTATGTCCAAGCCGCGCAGAAGAAATATGCCACACACAGGACAAACGGACGCAAAAAATGAGTTGGGAAAGCCATTTGATTGAATTCCAGTAATAATCGCAAACCGCTATGGAGTTGGTGCCGCTATAGAGTTAGAACCGGTCAATGCAGTTAACAGGTTTCATAGAAAGAGAATAATGTGCACCAAATCAGTCACTGTAGAAATCGAATACTTTAACTGTTTTGCACATTTCTGCATGAGTTTGTAGTGATCAGAACAACCTGAAGGTCTGGTAGAGTGCAATCCTCAGTTGTGTAGTAGTGTATGATTGCCAAGGTTGGGGTGTAAGGGATGAGGCGAGGACTCAATTGTGCAGTAGATGGGCTTTTATTAATAGAAATAAAACAAAAAAGCCAACAACAAAAACTATCCCGAGGGGAAAACACAGCAGGCAACTTGACTGGCAGGACAGGAACAAGCAAGGAACACGGCTGGAAACATAAGATGACGAACTGGCACAGTACTGCAAACACAAGGAGAATAAATAGGGAGCAAACAAGGGAGGACAGGTGGGGCAAATAATAATAATAATCAGGTGGGACAAGACAATAGACTTGACAGCACATGGCAAACAGAAAACAAAGACAAATGCCATGTGCTCACACAAAACAAAAACACAAGCACATGGCCAGCAAAACAATCACAAGCCATGTGCTTGAACAAAACAAGACACAAACACGCAGCTAATGAGATCACTCATAAGCTGCATGTACACACAAAACATGACAACATGAAAGCAAGCGGCCGAGGGAACCCCGAGCCGCGCACTACACAAGACAAAACGTGAAAGCATTTGGCCAATATAACCACAATCTGTGTGCGACAACACAAGACAACGAGAACGCACACGGCCAAACACAACAACACATGCGGACAGGAGAGCACATGGCCCGAGCGAACATGGGGCCGCACGCTCACACAACAAGACAGAACGTGAAGTGCAAGTGTCTGAAACTCTACAAAAAAACTAAACTTGAACAAGACATGAGTGCTGGGATCTGAACACCACGCTCCAACATGAAAAAAAAACATACAAACAAGAGTGAAAACAAAGACATTTCAGGAGTGTCAGGGCTCTGTCACAAAACCATGAATAAACTAGACTGAAGTGACAGAACCCTGACAATGATGGCCAGTTTTCCTTTGTCACTATTTACAAAGTCGGTAAGTGTATGATTCCTGTTTAAAAATCTGTTCAGATTTTAAAAGTTGTGTATTCCAGCATTAAGACGCGCTGCATTGTTAATTTTGCGTGAAAAGATAGTTTTTTTTCGAAAACAAAAATGAACACTAATTTCATATATACTGCCTTTTAAAAAATCAAGTACTTTTCAAGAACCTTTTGATAAATATGGCTGTTTTCAAGGGTTTTCCAGGATTTAAATTTCAAAAAGTCAAATTCAAGTACTTCAAGTAATTTAAGCAACTTGTACACACCCTGTTCCAAAAGCATGTGAAGGCAGCATTAGCATGAAGCAAGATCAACGTTTCTGTAACTCCGAACTGTGAGCATCAAACAGAGGCAATCTATTGTGAATATAAGGGTTTAATAAATGAAACTACAGGTAACATACAACTAAACTAAGCAAAACACATACATACAGAATGAAGGAAAGTAAGGAAAGAGAAAGATAAGAACAAAACAATGGCGGTATTTAACATCAGTTAACCACAACCTAATGAGAATCATCAGAGAATCAAAATCACCTTAATAAAGGGGCCCAAGCTTATACACGCATCTAAATAGTTGGAAAACGGCTACTTGCATTGGCTTTATTGCTGAACTAGAGTCCGGATGTGATAACAACGAAGATACTTGATGAGTATGTTATGAGTGAGCTGGAGGCTTTTCTTCAGGGTCTTCTGTTACTGTTACAAAGTTACTTTAAGGTAAAACTGCCAAAAGGTCAGACTCCAGAGAGATGAGTCTTGGAGAGTGTCCGCGTCAAAGGGTTTGAGCAATGATTGATTTGGGTTAGGCTTTTTTAACCCCCTTCCGGTCACACTCCTTCTTGGTGGACAGGCCAATGCAGAGGTGTGAATTTTGAGAGGGAAAATATTTATTTGTCTTACCAGACACCTTTATTTGCATGTTTATATTGTTCTGAAGGATTTGTGCAATATTAAGCCAAAGTGTGGTAAAAAGAGTATGGTGCAAGTTATGGTAACATACTATTCAACATCAATCACAAGAGGATTATTTTGACACTAGGCATGCCAGGTTTGGAGAACATTAAGGCAAGGATACATTCATATTTTTGTATATATACGCAATTAAGACTCCAGTAACTATGAAGTTGTAACTAAGCTAATATGCATACAACACAGGACTACACCATATACATTTTGTGACAGTTTTATTGTGGATAAATGGAGCCAATGTCCTTTTCCTATGTGTATTGTGGTGTCTGAGTGTGTCTGAGCCGTGGGTAGTGGCTCCACCTGGTGATGGGGGGTAATACGTCCCTTCCCTCTTGGAATCTCTTTGAAGCTCAGAGAGAAAGCTGGAGACTATCCTGGCTAGCATCAGTGAAGTTAGCAGGAGTGGTGATGCCTGAGACATGATTCCAACATCGGCTACTCTACAATGGTGCTCTCATCTGCGCAAGCAAGCAGGTACAACAGGTTAATAACAGCAACAATTAACACAGAGTAAATTTTAAATTACAAGAGGTCAGGAACTGTGAAACTGATTCATCCAAACAATAGTGTTAATGAATGCTATTGTTTTTTAGAGCATGACAGTCATTCGTTATTTTGTGTTCCACAAAAAAACATGAACAAACATGAAGGTGATAACTGTTACGTATCCGGTCCATGAACTTCCGTCTGCTAGCCATCAGAGGTCACCCTTTCCATTTTCATTGACTCTCGCACGACACACTGTTGCATATCACCCCGGACTACATATCCCATCATTCATTGCACTGATTGCACACAGCACTGATTGCACACAGCTGTTTCATATCACTCACTCACTATTTAACACTCACTCGGATCCCTTCCCGGGGCCGAGTATTGTTTAGCGCTTATCATTTGATAGCTACACTACAGAGCCCTCGTTAGTTTACCCTGCCTTAGCCTAGTCTTGCCTTGTCTGTTTCCTCGTCTTCTGATTATTGCCTGTGTACTTCGGACTACCTCTCTCGTCTTGCCCTGTTCGGATACTGTTTGCCCCTGCCTGGACCTTCCTAGCCTAGCCTAGTCTTGCCTTGTCTTGGCTGTTTTCTCGGTTTCTGATCTTCGCCTGTTTTCCTGGATTTATCCCTTTAGTCTTGCCCTTTTGATTCTGTTCGCCGTTCGTTGACCTTCGCTAGCCCTAGGATTATTCTTGTGTCTTGCCCGCAATATAGCTGTTTGCCTTTGTTCGACCCTGCCTGTGTTTCTGACCTCTGCTTTAATAAAGCTTGCACATGGATCCGCATGTCTCACATCTCGTCAGCCCCGTAACAATAACATAATTACAGAAATTTCACTTTTGAGTAAAGTATAAATACAGTACCAATCATGTCTTCAAGCATCTCTGTCACTTTTTTCAAGTCTTGAAGCTTAAAGAAATGTTTTTCTTGGTCCCTCTGTGACACAAAGCCATTTATGTCTTCTTGATTCACATCATATCCAACTCCAAATACATAAAGATCTGGAAAGAGGAGACACATCCATATCAATATGAAATCAATGATAAAGACTTCTTATTAAATATGTGTATTTTTTGCTGCCCCTGATGATACTGCTTGTTGATGAAACACACTTTCAAAAAATACTTATAGTCCAAGCAATCTCATTTAAAATATAATTATCATTAATAAATTTGATTGTTCACCAAGTTTCTTCTCCCGCTTTGTATCATTTTTGGTGACAAGACGTTTGATCTGGTCCACTTCACGTTCAGGATTCCCCCCCATGTTTGCCTGACCTATGAGGTAAGATGAGATAAATTACAGTGAATATTTGCTTCAAAGTCGATCTCTATTCTAATTTGTAATACTGTGCATGGATATTTTAATAATATATTAATATGTATGTATTGTTTGTAAAAACTGATGTCAATACCATCAGTGAACACTATGATGATGTGTTGGGTCTCATTGAAGGCCATTGCATTGTTGTTCTCCTCTGTTTTCATGCTCTCTAAAATCTCTGAATAGACTAGTGATATTGGTACCTGTTTTTTCACACCAGAATATTACAGTCAGCAGGTTAATGAGAAACATTTTCTGATTGAAACAGCTGACTAAATCTAAATTAAAATGAATCAAAATTACATCATTAATTGGGATTTTTAAAAAAGAATGTAAGATTTGTTTAACTATTACATAGGACAACAATGCATAAATGTATTTTCATAGTTAGATGTAAATGTTCTATTAGTATATTATTCTGTAACAATAATATCTAAAAAAATCTAATTCCATGTCTACAATAAGACTCAAAAATAGACATTCAAACAGAATACTTACTCTCATGAGTAAATTTGTCCAGCTCTTCAAAAATATTCACTAGGCTTCCTGCATTTAGTTAATTTCTTTTGAAGTCTTTCATAGAGATTATCCGATCAACGTCTGTAGCAAACATCAGGATCTCATAGTTTGGGGAGACTGGGTAATAACTCATCTTTTGGGAAAGAGCATTGAGAATTAAAAGATGGACGCAACACTGCACATTTCCGTACAATTAATGTTTGTATTTTGTATTTTAACATAAACTAAGAACACAAAGGTTGGATATGTAAGGGAAAATTTATTATGCTTGTACACTGCCCTTCCCACAATATTCCTGCTTATCATGGCACTTTGTGCGAAAGACAGATGGTACATATGCTAGTAGACAATCTTCATGCAAATGTTAATAAGGTTTTGTGAAACTTCAGTAGTAGTACACACACAATACTGCGTAAAAATGTAATTTAGCGGGTTAAATAGAATATATGCAGGGGCGTAGCCATCATTTCAGAAGTGAGGGGGACAGAAATGTTATATATATA